GTTTGGCTGATTTGGGGGAGAGATGGTGTGTTTTACAAAGTGAAAACGCGTCCAACATGGGCGAATTTGACGCCGTCGACTGCCACGTCGGCGACATTGAAGCCACGTCGGACGATTTCAGATGGCGGGGATGGTGGGTGACAAACGAAGGTGCTGGTTGGTGAGTTCAGTGATGGGTTGGAGGGAAAACAAAGTTCAGTGACCAGGAGGTGATGAAGTTAGGAGTTGAGTGACCAATGAAAGTTTTTACTCGAAGTTTCCTATCGGTTACCACTTGCTAATCAAAATATAAATAGTTAGAGAATGCTCACCCAACTATTCATTAATTTACTCATCCATCACTACGGTCAATTTCGTCTGTACATATGGACAATAAACTATACGTGGAGGATGAAAAAATGACGTGACAATAACGGCGTTAGTTGAATACACGGTCGATAAAAACGCAATGGGTAAAATATCAATTTTAGTTCCATTTAGCAAACACGTTTTTTACTTTTTCCTTCCAAATTTTCTCCCACAACCCCAAATTCAATCTTATTCACCACTCATTTTCTCTTCTAGGAACCATCTGCGATGGAGAGGAATGAATTATGCTTTTTCTCCATTTAAGGTTTCTTGAATCTTTCAGTCTAAATCTATTTGTTTTTTAACTAACAAAATTAAAATGAAACCTAGTTTCTTAATTTTCTGTCCATTTCTTTGTATTTTGGTGTTGATTTCTTTAGTTTCTTCATCCAACTTCAAGCACCAATTCATCTACATGTCCTTATGTATTGAGAATTCCAATAAGCCCCTCCAAATCCTAATTCAACCCAGTAGATTTCTCCTACTTCTGATGATTCCATTGCCGGAAAACGTGAGTGCTACCAGACCCTCATTTCCTTTTATGGCATAGGACTGTCACATCATCTTAAAGAGACTTCTCTTTTTGAACTGCACAATTTGCCAACTTCCTTTTCTTGCCTTGAAGATTTCCAATCCAAGTTGAATTCCTTTTTTCTCCCACAAAACATGGGGTTCACACTGATATGTGATGAACTGTTCACAACTAAAAATTTTAATTCATAGGGGACGTAGATATAGAACTTGGATATGGATTACAAAACTGGGATTGCCAATAGATTGAATTAGTTTGATGGTGTGATTTGGAGATGAAAGTGAGTTGGGGATGAATATTTCAATCTCTCTGATAGAACTTTGATTTTATCCGTCCAGACTCGTTATTTCAAATTATACAATTTTGGCTATTTAGAAAATAACCAATTAGAGTACGTGGAAATGATTCATTAGCCACGTCAATTTTTATCTCCATGTGAAATTTATTGTCCAACTGTACAAACATAATTGGCTCTAATGATGTATGGGTAAATTAATGAATAGTTGAGTGAGCATTCGGTAATCATTTATTTTTCGGTGAGCAAGGGTAACCAATGCTAAAATTCAATGACCACTCGTTTAATTAACTCTCCAGTATTTAATTAAACATTTCATTTACATCCTCAAACTTTAAAAATGTTTCGATCATCCATTTCTTAACGAAAAATCATATGTGACATTAACATTTATTTAGTTTAGTGATGTAACTCTCATCAAATTTTAAAATTCATTTCAATTACGTTATTATATCGTGATGTTACCTGATCATCTATTTTATAACAAAACTCATTCGTAACGTTTCTGTTTGGTGAAGAATTATTAAACGTTTTTAATTTTTTAGTAAATAAAAATGAATGATGAATGAGCGAATAATGTTTGTGAGTCCATTAGAGCGTGCATTTGAATAAAGTTTAACGAATTTATAAATTTTTCTAGTAGTATTTTAGTGATGCAACTCACACGCGTGATACTTGCATTGATTACACCCAAAGAATAACGGGGTAATTATAGCACAGCTTTGGGGTGTCGTATCCACAGGGAGATGGAAAAATATTTAAAGGATCAAAAAAACTGAATTGTTCTCTCAAATGTATAATAAAATTTAATGTTGAAAGATGAAATTAAAATCAATAATTCGAAGCAGTGAACTTTCGGAATTCCCTCAATTGGATTGGATCAATCATATCAATTATTCATTTTTATAACATAATTAGAGGTTTTCGTCCCGACACTCTAATCGGAAGATATATGGTGAAAATCAATTTAATTTACAAATGTAGTTCTAGAATTTAAACTTAAGACATATTCGCACAATTTTATTGGAACAAGATCAAAGATCGACCATATACATCAAACATAAGGCAGTAATCAATCCACCAATAAAGTGAAATTGAGATTAAAATTCAACAACTAGTTTAATCTAACGATAGAAGAAGCATGACTGGATCTATGAAGGATATAATAATAGTTA